GCACGCACCCACGCACACTCACTCACCCCTCAGACGCGCACACACACACATACTCACCCCGATCAATTGCCCAAGGGTGTTTCTCTGGCTCTGAGTGTGTGGCTGGTCAGTGAGCTGCTCCTGTGGTGTCCCTCATGCAGACAATGGGGAATTCGTATGCTGGGCAGCTGAAGTCCGCACGCTTTGAGGAGGCTCTTCACAATTCCATCGAGGCGTCTTTGCGCTCCAACAACCCGGCTCCGCGGCCGGTCTTCTCGCAGCTGTACCTGGAGCCCGAGCCCTACGCCAGCAGTCTGGAAGGTATGTCCCCCCTCCTGAGCTTCCCAGGGCCCCTGAACACTCAACTGGAAGACCTCCCAATCGTTCGCTTTCATGGGTTTCCTTGATTTTGCAGAACAAAATGGGTCTTCTTTTTAAAACAAAATGAAAAGTGTTCTGAAACGTTCCCCAGGGGCTTTAGTCCAGAGTGTGGAAGTGTTCATGAAAGGGATTTTAAAATGTTTATTTTTTGCGAGTTGGGGGGACAAAAACCCCACTACCTCCCGGTTAACTGTCTCAGCATCATCCTTTCCAACCGGCTGAGAGTCGCTTTCTCCGAACAGATGTGAAGCCGAAGGTGGAGGGCCTAGAGAAGGAAATCGCCCTGCACCCCCCCGAGAGGGCGAGCCAGGAGCTGGCGAATGGACAGGCCTCCAACAGCACGGAGAATGAAGAGGACATGGAGGACGAGGACATGTCTGACACGAGCAGCCCTCCCATTCCCTACTTGCAAAGGCCTGCCCCGGAGGGCTCCTGCACGCTGGACGGTAATCTAGGAGCGTCGCTCTAGCCAGGCCCCGTTTCCCAGTCCCGCGCGTCCTGGGACTTCATTGTTCCGATGCTCCAGCTCTGCATGCCTGCTGGGTGACTCCAGTGCAAACACCGCCGTTCCAGCATTATAGTGTGTGTGGAAAGGGTCCCTGATACCAGTTCAGCGCTTTGTTTCATGCACGGTTCCCTGCGGAGCGATAATGCTTCGTGGCCTTTCTTGGCCACATGTAAATAAAAGGCCAGGCCATTTTTTCATTCTTAGTGATTTGGATAAGATGTATCCATGGCTTTGAGCCAGGCCGCTGTCCTGTAGTTAACATCCTGAAGGGGCGACCCCTTTGAACTTCACATGTAGCTCAAGCAAAGCTCGCGTCTCTTGTGCTCAGGTGTGTTTAACGACGCCGGGTGGTGTTTTGCCTGTCTGGCCCTTGTGCGGACCTCTTCCCCGTGGTGTACGACTGAGAGGAGAGAGAGGGTGTAATTGATCAAGGTGAGGAGTTACTTAGGAGTCCCCTTCTGACGGGTAACCAGGTGGCATTTCCGTCTCCTCAGGCTTCTGCCAGGCAGGCAAGGACCTGCGCCTGGTCTCTGTGGCGATGGAGCAGATCGAGGTCCCGCCCGGGTTCGAGCTGGTCGGGGCCAAATCGCCCAGCATCCCTGAGCACATCCTGGTCTGTGCCGTGGACAAAAGGTTCCTACCCGACGACAGTGGGAAAAACGCACTATTAGGTGGGTCTGCAGAGTACTAAAGGAGTAAGATCGTGCCTGTACTTAGAAAAAGCTTTTCCGAGGATGTGGGTTTTCGGTTAAATATTCCCTATTCGGAATAATGAGGCTGAACAGAAGCCATTAGTTAACTCTATTTTTGTATGTATAAATTACGTTTATACTTAATTTGTAATACACTCAGGATAGCTGGAACATTTTGTCCTTTATTTTCCGAGCTATGAAATTATTTTCAAGAGCTGTGTTAGATTTATTGAATCTTTTCTTGTAGTTGATTAAATCTTAAGTATGTAGGTCAAGGACTTATCAGCAGAGCTTTTTAATGAAGGAAAATGGCTATATTCACATAGAATAGAACAAACTGCAGTTGGTAACGTTTCTTGTAAATGGGAAATTTAAACAAGTGTTTTGTCTCTGCTTGTTCATTTTCTTCAAGCAAACCCCTTATTAAAAGACCAAACATGACTGTGTTGTTCTTCAAATGTAGGTTTGTTTACAGTAATCATGAAAAATAAAGTAATGACAAGCATCTCAGCTGGCACAATGTGAAAGCTTTAATTCAACAAGCTCAACACCCTCCCTTTATTCCTGATGAGGCAGCAGTGCTGTGGGTTTTATTTAACTGTTTGAGGTCTGCAACATCTTAATTCCATCCATGTTTAATAATATATTTTGTTGTATATTAATATCATTCCATATGTTGAAAGGCAGATATTTCCTTATATGAATGTTACAAAAATGTGCCACAGAAACGTGAATTAAATTTAGAACGCAGAATTGTTTTATGCTCGTAGATGGGAACATGCAATACCTTTTGATCAGTCACTCCCCCTCGCTTTTTATACGCTGCGACAAAGAAGTCAGACTGTGCTTTTGTCTCGTAGGGTTTTCGGGAAACTGTGTAGGCTGTGGGGAGAAGGGGTTTCGCTACTTCACGGAGTTCTCGAACCACATCAACCTGAAGCTGGCTACGCAGCCCAAGAAGCAGAAGCACTTAAAGTACTACCTGGTGAAGAGCCCCCAGGGGGCTCTGTGTAAGGGCCCCCCCATCTGCTGGAAAGGTGACCTGACGTCTTGACATGCCTACGTGCACCTGCTACTGTCCTTGCCTCTCTCCAGGACTGAGACTTCTCGTCCTGTCTGCATTAAAAAAAGCTTGCTGAGAATCAGTGTATTTTATGTTGCTGTTTGTTACTTAGGAATTATTGCTGTAGGAATTATTTAGATAATTCCTAATCCCAGAAATTGTAAAGGGTTAATAAAGTTATGTTATAACTCTGTTGGTTACTGGGGAAAAGGGAGCCCGGATTTGCTCGGTATAAAGGCAGGGTCAGTTTGGTTCATGGTAATCCAGTGACTGTGATAGCCACTGCTCCACTGGTGGAGGCAACAAAGTAACGATTGTGGCGTAGCTTTTGAAATAAGAAGGTAGGAACCATTAAAATAATCTGTGTTCACTTTGAATAAACGAGATATTCCCCTTATACCTTTACTGATATCATCAGTGCCATCTTCTCGAGGGTTTTTAAGATGTTCAGAAAGATTATTTAAGTGCAGCTCTCAAAACAATTCACAGACGAAGGGTGAGAAAACTGCGTGGTGTGGAAACGAGGGCTCGTATGGGGGGCTCTCCTGAAGGGAGTGGATTTGACTTTCTGATGGGGAAGAATCTTCGATACCTGGAGGAAAACTGTTGTGTGCATTAAACAATGGACAATTGTGAAAGTATTTTGTGTAGCAATTCAGATATGTGGGCATTACACTGGTGCAGTGGTCAGTGTTCCTGGGGCCCTGGACACAGTGCTGGACCTGGGGTGCTGTCTGTGTGGAGTTTGCATGTTCTCTCCACATTTATGTAGGTTTCCTCAGTCCCGAAACATGCTGGTACGTTAATTGGCCTCTGGGAAAAATGGCCCTGGTGTGTGTGGGTCTGTGTGTGCCCTGTGATGGACTGGTGTCCTATCCGGGGTGTACCCTGCCTTGTGCCCGTTGCTTGCTGGGATAGACTCCAGCTCCCCTGCGAGCCCGAATCACATGAAGCAGTTAGAAGATGGATGGAGAAGATGGGTGAAGTTCAGATATGTGTTGGCATCACATCTTGCAGCTTGCGTCTTACAAGGCTGTTCACAGAGGTCATTGGAGTCCCCCTTCCCTTTCTAGAATGTAAGACAAGACAGCCGTCCAGCAGTGTGTCTTCTGCCAAGCCGAGTTCTTCTACGTCCCAGACTGCCAAGCCAGACAGCGGTGCGAGCAACGGCCCCAGCTCCCCGCCTTGTCTTCACTCAGGTGTGTGCAGACCTCCCGCCCCCTCCCCCCAGAGGTTCGACTGGCTCGCCGTGCGCGTCGGAAACCAGCCCCGCAAGACCGTCATCATGTCACTAACGGCGGACTTGTCTCTATTAATGCGCAAAGATGCAAATCACACCTCTAGTCTAATCCCAAAGGCGTGGTGCTTTTTTTCTTTCTGTGTCCATTGTGGTAACGGTGCAAGCAGAAGTTAGTAGCACATTGAAAAGTCAAAAGAAAGAAGAAAATGGAAGAAGGTCCCGCAGGTGAAAGGCTGTTTTTTTTATGTTCGTGAAAAACTTTTTCTTTCTACTTTTCAGCCTAACGTTTACCACTGCTTATTCCTGTTCTAGGTCACACTCCAACCTCATTGTGGTAATGGACAGATCAGGACATTGGCCTATTCAAATGCAGATGGATGAATAAATTATTTAAACCTTTTTTATTCATAATGCCGGTGCAATATTGACAGACTGTACTACTGTGACAGTGTGAGAAGGACATCCTGTCTGTGTGGTTATGCAGTACATAGCCCTTGTCCTTGGAAGTACACAAATAAAGACATACAGCAGGCGAAAAGTGACAATGTCTGCTGTTATGAATCTGTTTTAATAATCTAGAAATATTTCATGCTATTTTGAATATGCATTTCAATGCATTATGTAGTGTACATGAAATATATTAATATTTATTAGCCATGACAGTTTTTACAACACTAGAAGTTGCTTTATCTAAGACTTCTGATTCTGCTTTGTGTATATTAGGTCCTGCTTCCTAGCGTTTTGAAATGGCCATGGCCGGTTTGTATTCATATATCCTCACAATGGACAGTTTTCAATTCAACCTAGCACCTCCCCAACCTATTTCTTATTAACATTAACATATTTATGTGTGTGTGTTTTGGATTTTTAAGAATGAACATGCTAATCAGTGCGAAGTCTGTAATAATGTTTGTTCTGCGGCAGATTCTCCACCCAGTCAGACGCAGGCTTCTTCAGCCATGAGCGTGTTCGGAGGTCAGGACCTGTCGAGGGATCTCGGCTATGCGAAGCCCCTGGCCTTGACCTTGCCTCAGGGGAGCAGGAACCCACCTACAGGTTCATGTCTTCACTTGTCTCGTCTCTGGCCTTGCTGTGCGCCAGCTGGGCTCTTCCATCTGTGTCTTATTCTACACTGCTGCCAGCATAAGCAGCTGTAGACTGAAAAACTGTTTTTATGTCTTGGTAATGTAGATTGTAGTCTGGTGCAACAGTTTCTTCAGGTCAACCGTATTATACGGCAAACAAAAAAAAAAAGGCTTTTTTTCCCCAACAACAGAGCCACAGAGTGTTGTGAGAGTCTGGGACCAAAGCCCACCGCTACATTGCTGAAGCTGACTCTGTGATTTCAAATTGATTTCAACTACTAGTCAACTGTACAAACAAGATGCTTCCTCTCACTTGCAGCCTTTTCAAATGATCTTCAAGATCGCTATTCGGTTGTCCTGTTTAGCATACCTGGGTCAATAGTCCTGCTGGGGTCCGTTTTTCAGGTTTTTCCGCTGTTTTAATGAATTCAGCAGTGACTAGATTCTCCGTGAAACAGAGGCAGCAGCTGTTTTCGGGGGATGATTTGGAGATCATTAGGAATTTCTGTTTCCTTTGCCTGGCAACCAGATGAGGTATCGATAGAAAGGAAATGGAGTATAATGAGCTTGCTCGGTTTAATTTTTCCTAACTGGGATAGCTCATTTGCAAGGTGCCTCTATTGACAAGTAATGTCATCAATACAGATAGTCACGTTACAGGCCTTGATCAATATGCCATGTAAAAGCACTAGGGCAATCAATATTTGATAGTGTTTCATGAAAAAAAATCAATTGCTCACTTTTCACAAAGGTTGTTTTGCAGTCATTTTTTTCTTCATCTCTCCATCCACCAACAGAAACGTCCAGATGTGTTTGACATTTTTCATGATCGATCTCCAGCTGTTTGGGGTTTTTTACATTTATAAGTACTAGACAGATATTTACTTATTATTAAAATGTAATCCTACGGACAGGGCAAAGTGGATTTTTTTTTTTAATCTGCAGTATTTTTCTTGCCAGTGTAATGTCAACGGGACAAGATGTAACAGTCTCCCACCCCCGATTATAGGAAGACGTCCTGTTTGGTGGACGGATTGGCTGCGTGTGTACCGGGGGGATGCGGGGGTGTGCAGGGAGCCCTGGCCTGCTGCGATGGAGGCTCTTAACCGTGCGTTTAACATACCCACCCCCTCACATCGGCAGGCCAGAGCCAGCCTGCACACGCACACGGTGCTCCGCCGGGAGGAATAAATCGCTCCTCCACTCTTCCGTCCCGGAATCGAGACGGGCCCGTTCCGGGTTTGGAGCTCTAGGCGTAGGATGTCTGACGCGTGTGTCCTGTTCCAGCTCCCGCGGCTCCCCGAGCGGGCGGCTCCGCTCACGGGACGAGCAGCGGAGGCCGGCCGCCCCCGAGCCCCTCGCAGCCCCCGACATCGGGAGCACAGCCGCTGTGCTCCAGCCTCGGACACCGCGCCCCCGACGCAGGTGACCCCTCCTCCCGCGCGGCGCAGCGGTCCGCTGCTGCTCCGTCGCATCCTTTACCCTGCCTCCCCCTGTCGGTTTCTGCAGTCCTTCCGCAGCTTTGTGCGAGATTCGCTGTGCCGGGCTGTGGCTGTTCTGCTCATTTGTTTTAACGGACGAAAGCCCCTGTTCTTCTGCCTGCTTTGTGAACTAAACGTCTTGTTTCGAAGTTGATTGGGGAGGAAGACGCTGACTGGGGAACACCCAGGTGCCCCCCTGTCCCCGATTCTTCTTCAGTTGCCCCCCGGGGATGAATCAAGTGTTTTTGACTGAATAGAGACAAACGCGAAAGGGACCACGTTTTCACTCAGTAAAGGGAAACTTGGAATGTGAGGACTAAATGAACGAAGTCAAGTTCTGTATTTCAGAAAACAACTCCTGTTCATTTTTGTATAACATGAGAACAGAATGTAAACTGCCCATCTTGCGCCCCCTGTCCCTCGAAGGTTGTCGTCCTGAGACCTTCGCTAGACCCTCTCTCGTCATGCCTGGGGTGGCGATCTGTCTGCTGGCCCTGCCCGCTGTAGTGTGGGGTGAGGGTTTTGCCCTGGCCTTGCCGCCAGCGCTCAGGAGTTTGAAAGCAGCGCTGTCCTCTCAGCCCCGCCGGCAGGCCTGCTCTCGGGCAGAAGCCCTAACTCCTCCGATCTCCTCCTCAGCCTCCATGAGCTCCGGCCCCCCGAAGAAGCGGCACCGCAGCTGGTACCCTGGGTCCCCCGTGCCTGCGCCCCCCACTGCAGTCCCGGTGCCAGCGGTCCGACCCGCCGTCCACCCCTCCGGTAAGGCACGGCTCTAAAATACCGCTCTCCCCCGAGGAGGAGCGAGAGCTCCGCAGCTGTGTGCTCCACTTCTCACGAGCTGCTGTTTCGTGAGGCTCACAAATATTCAGGGTCCCTGTGCCCTGCTTTTCAGACAAGGGCTCCCAACATACACATACACACACATCTGTGCGCGTGTGTCTCTCAATCCAGAGGTTACCCACGCCAACACCTGGGCGAGCGAGCCTGCTCTTCTCAGCTGCGGCACGGCCAAGAGGTCATGGTTTGTTTCTTATCCTCCCTTTCTTTCCTCCCACTCAAGGCCTGCTTGGCCACGTGATCTCTATAGCGACCAGGTGCCGCTGTGCAGTGACACTTAAGCCATGTTTCCCAAGGAGATTTCAGTCCGATGGAAGAAGCCACTTCAGTTGCAGCAATTAATAAAAATAAGAGAAGGGAAGGGAGGCTCTCTCCTGTGGGCATGATGAACATTTTTTTGTGTTAATTTAAAGCCTTCCTTGCATTGTCAGTTACTGAAGAAGATCTCAGATGGTGTTAACACCTTCATGTGATTTTTTTTTTTTTTCCCTCGGCAAAAGCCTTGTGGAACGATATGTTGGCAGTCCATTTTTTACCTTTTGCCTGAGGGGAGGTGGAGGGTGATATGTGTTTAAAACGCACACAACCCTAGTTCTTTCAGAACCGGGGTAAACATTCCCTTTCTCCTGCTTCTTGGTTTTTTTTTCTTCCAGTCCTAGTAAGGTTTCCTCGAGGAGTGAAACTGCGCTGTTTTAACCCTGAATTCCTCACGTGGCCAGGGAGGAGTGATAGCGTGTGAGCCCTTGGGGAGCTGCAGTCTCGTTCAAGGACAGGAAAGCTCTGTGATTGCTCTGTGCCGCAGCTGTCCTTGGCCTCTGAAGGTCTTTCTCTAGCCCGGCGGATGTGTCGCGCTAACCGGTGTGTGTGCTCTGCTCTCAGAGGCCCTGCTGCCCCTGGTGTCTGGAGTGCTGCAGCCCCAGGCCCTGCCTGCAGGAGACACTGTCATTGTCCCCGACAACCTGCTCAACACCTCCTCAGTCAGGCCCGTCATCCTCATCGGTAAGCTCCTGCGTTGTGTACCGCTTGCGATGCGTCACGGCGGTTTGTGACACACCTCTACCACAAGGTTTGCCATCCCTTTGAAGCGTCTGCTTTTGTTCTGGCATCTCAGTTCTCAAGTCAATCATATAAAATGTTTCAATTTTTTTTCTTTTTGTGGATGATAATGCATTGAGACTTTTACATTACTCCATTCTGTTCTGTATATTACAGATGTTTATTTTTTTTCTCGGTCTGTCTTAAAAATGTTAATGTCAGGGTGTTTCCAGCATCTTTCAATGTATTACCCAGCTTCTTCCATGCACTCTTTAGAGATTTTTAAAAGGCACCTTCTCCATTGACTGACCACGTGTCCTGTGAAGTGGGCAAGGACTGACGAAGGAGAAAAAGGCCGAAGAGGAGTATGTGGGGTGTGCTGTCTATTGCAGCTGTGTTCTGTTTAATTTCAGGTTATGGCACTTTACCTTATTTCTATGGCAACGTGGGGGATGTCGTGGTCAGTCCCCTGCTTGTGAGCTGCTACAAGAACCCCCCAGTGAGCTACAAGACTCTGGAGAGCGTGGGGGTGTCGGTCAGCCAGCTCCTGAGTGTGGAGGACATGATTTTGCTCACTGTGCAGTATCTGGTTCGATTAGGTAAGACAGACAAGCTGCATCGCTCCGCAGATACACCTTCTTTCACACTGCGTTTCCAGTGTCGCTCCTGCCGTTCAAGCTCCTGTGCCACTTTCTCGTTGCCCAGACTTGGGATTAAGACGTCTGGGCAACTGTATGAAAGAGCTGTCACTTTCGTTTTTGGGGGTTTTGGGCCTAAAAAGTCTTATACAGGATTAAAAGGTCTTGTTCTGCCTTTAGGTTCTTTACATTTCTGTTACGGCTTCTCTTTGTGCTCCAACAGCACGTCTTTCCTTCTCACAGTTCTAATTCCATTCCTCAGGATGTGTAGTGTAACACATATATACTTCATTCACTTTGGTCCTTCAAAATGTCACGTTTTTGCACTTAGAAGTTAAAATGTAAATTTGCTCGGCTGGTGGGCTGGTTTTTGCAGAACATAATTCTGCTAAAAGTGTAAAAAAAAAAACATTTGCCATTTTGGGGGAAAAAAACGATACGATTAATCTTGCAGGAATTTTACCTCCATATGAGCTTTTGTGCTGCTGATTAAAAAGGCTGACGCAGTGCTGAATGTTCGGATTTCACTCTTGTGTTTAGAAAAGAAGAGTCTTTCTTTGGTCCTCTAGAAACTAAAACCAATCATACCAGCAGAAGATGAATAATCGGGTTGATGTGTTGTCCCCTTATTGCCTTGCGAAGATGCACTTTGGTCATCGTCTCTTGTGGGAGCTGCACTTGCCAGCACGTCGGCGTTTATTCCCTCACAGTGTGGATCTCTAGCAACCATTACCTCAAAGAGCGGGTGGGTCTGCCTGGGCTGAGTGGTCACTGTGCTTGTAATCGGCAGTGGCCGTGCCCCCTCTGGGCATCGCCAGGGGCCTTGATGCAGCTCGCTGTGTGTCTGTCTTCAGGCCCGGACCAGATTCCCCTGCGGGAGGAGTTCGAGCAGATCGCCCTGAAGGCTATGCAGGGCGAGCGGCCTCTGCAGGAGCAGGGGGTCCCGCAGCCCGGCCCCGGCGCAGCCTCGATCGCCCCCGCGCAGCTGCCCTGGCTCGCCCGTCTCGCCGCCAGTGTCTCTCAGGACTCGGTGCAGGTGCTTGTCACCCACAGCTCCCTGGGGGAGGGCATCTCGGAGTCTCTGCGCTCCCTCAGCGAGGTGCCGCCCCAGCAGCGCCTGCCTGACTACGTTGTGGTCATCTGTGCCTCCAAGATGCGCGGCAGTGAGTTCTGTGTGCTGGTCTTAGGTGAGTGCCTCTCTCCTGGCTGGAATGCTCACGCACGCACACTCACT